AAACTTATATTGACAGTATTTGTAGTTATAAAAATTTTTTTTTTTTTTATGATAATTTAATAAAATATGTTTTATTATAAAATAATAATTGTAATAATAAGGTTTTTATTATTAATTTTAGTAGTATTCTAATTTTTAGTTACTTATTACTTTAACATAATATAGTTTTATACTTTTTTATTTTTATCCATTTACAAGTTGTCACAAAAATTAGTGTAAGAATTCTACATTTCTTGTTTCATTCGTAGACATTTATTACAAAGCCAGAAAATTTTATGAAATTAACTCTTGCAAAGCTATGCGGAGTCGTATAACACATTGGTTTTATTTGAGTAAATAAATCGGCAGCAAATCGCTGAGGNTGAGTAAATAAATCGGCATCAAATCGCTGAGGTTTATTGAGTAAAATAATACAATTGTGTAATCTACAGAATGTTTCAACTCCGTTTATAAGAAAAACCAACTAGTTTAAAGTCGCACCAGCCTCCGGTCTTTTTATTTTACAATATGTGTAGACACAGTGCAGTAATAAAAATAATTCCTGCACTTAAAATTTGTTATTACTTTAGTTTCATAGATTGAATAAAATGATAGATATTTATTATTTGTTGATTAGACTAAATAAAATGTTTCTATGGATAGGTATTAAATCTTCTACTAAGTTAAAATATCTTTGATTTTTCTCATATGTTATTGATAGAAGTTACTTGGTTTTTATGTTTAACGACATAATAACAAGAAATTTTTAGATTAATAATATCGAACAAATTTTAGATAGATGTCGTTTGGTAACTAAAAATATTTATTAACATGTAAAGAGGAAAACATTAATTTTCTTAGATTTGTTTAATCTACGTTAATTGTTGAATGTTTTTTTAACAATTTTAGATTGTATGCTTATCAGATTGGTATAATTCGACGTTGCATTAAAAATCCTGCATAGATAATATTAGGTAAATTTAATATTATTTCGTTTTATAATTATGGTTATAAATCGAAATTTCTTTAGGGAAAGATAAGATAATAATTGAACTTTAATGTATTTTCGATACCAATGATGAAAATAAAACTGCGGAAATCAAATGTTGTAAATATTATAAATTATATTTAAACTATAAATATGTTAAAGCTTTCATGAATTGTTTTATTATTTTCAAAAATTACAGAAATAGGGCAAAAACATGTTTGTAAATAATTTCAATATTTCATCATTACTCGAGTTTGTTCTGAGTATTTAGATGTATTTCGGAATGCACATATTGTGAATGTTTTTAATAGTTGTATTTTCGTAAAAAAATGTCCGTTTCTAAGGAATATTGTTAACAAGGTAAAAAATTGTTTATATAAGCGTATAATATGTTTAGTGTTGTTCAAAATCCATAAATAACGTTTCTGAAATCTGCCACGAAGGATAATAGTAATATAACACTAAAAACGTAAATACAACCCAACAACAACATTTCTCGACTATAAAATTTTTGAATTGGCGGCGCCTTACTTGCGCCTGTCATAAATATGAGACTATGTAGACCTCTTTATAGAACAGCACTATATCGCTCCATATACTGCCACTTCGGTCGTCGCCTGCATTGCTAACAGTGTATTCCGGTCGGTTGGTCGGATCACGGAATATTCTCACTGAAAAATGTCACATGGCACAACCCGGCAATAAATCATGTTTGTTTTGTACGCAACCACTCGCCATGGCACCGGCATAATTTGTCGCCATAATAACGTGACTTATGTCGGGTAACTACCATCGAGCAGCCTTTGAGGCACGCACGTTGGACAAACTGCTGGCTGTGGTTAGATGTGGTGTTGTCATGTGTCGTGCGTAAGTATCTTGACCTCAGCTTAAAGGATTTTATCATCTTTCGATGATTATCATGAACATGACGACCTTTTCCAACCTTATGCAGTGTAACACTTTGTCACAATTTATTTCACATGGTTAAATTATTTATTCCGGTCGTGTATATAATTCTGCAGAGTGCAATTTTTAGTTTCTCGATATTTATTTTTCATTAAAATAACATTTTTAAATCGGTGTAAATTTGTTTCAGCATAATGTAATGAATAAATTTCGCTGAGTGTCGGGAAATCAAGAAATTGACGAATTCCAATATAAAATGTTTAAAAATAAGAATGATTTCATCAATTGGCATCTTGGCCCACTGCAAAAATTACAAAACTTGTGTAAGCCGGCAAAATGTGACAATCGACTCGGTGATAACTTCAATAGGTCACTAGGGTATAAAAAGTAGTATTTTTCGGCCGGAGTGTCAGTATGTGTTTAGTGCTGATAATGGTAATATCGTTCCAGAAATGCGAATATGTAATTTTTTTAGTAATTTTGTTGCTTTTTCAATTAAATATTTTTTTAGCTTTAGATTATATTTTTTTAATTTCAAATGTTATTTTTATTATTTATAACCTAAAAACCTACCTACTTCCTATCTAACAATAGATTTATCATTAGCATATTTATTGGTATTGTTTATCTTATTCGGCAATTTATTACTCTACTGTCGTTGTAGATAAGAAAAATAACACATTTGAAACAATGAATGCATCCATTTTATTTTAAAAATTAATTATGCAATCATTGTGCTCTACCAAGGTATATAAACTCCTTATATTTTCAATGTTTCTATTAAACGCAAAACAACTTATTTTGCGTACATGTTATTAAACAGCTTGTTCAATAATAAAAAATTGTTAAATGTAGAAGTAAATAATTGTAAGCATAATCGCATTAATGTTATGTCTTGAATGTACATTTACATTCGACAAAGACTATAAAGATAAACACGAATAAACTTAATACAATGGAAAATATGTTTTAATTAAACATGTTGTTGCTCCAAACTATTTGTTGGAAGCTGCTATAAAAAAATTTAAGATGGACATAAATATGTTTTACCGTGTTGTTATATTTAGTGTAATAACTGTTAACCATAAGTAAGAATAATTTTTAATAAAGTTCCAGACCTAAATAATTAAAAAACATTTAATAATCGTTAAATTTATCTTTCAATGTTAATAGTTATACCAAAAAATTCGCAAATTCAACAATAGAAAGACATATACTGAATAACGTATAAAAAGTAGGATATAACATTAAAACTCCATTTAAGATACAAATAAAGCAATTTATGTAAATTTTCTACCAACATGTTCTGTAGGTTAATTGAATTTATCGTTAAGCAGCAACTACTCCCTTAACTACTGATCCTGATGAAAGAATATTTAACAAATAAAAATTACTAAAATATTATTTGAGATTTAAAATAGACGATCTACGATTAAATGCACTGACCAGGTTTAGTTGCAAAAGAAACAAACCGGAGGATTTGGATATCGATAAGCTTGTAAACAAATAAGCAACACTGAAACACTGTGGAGTAAAAATTTAAAAAAATGATAAAACTTTGATCAAATTTATTTACACAATTATTATGACGTGTAGTTTTATAACAATTAATAATAAGTTATAAATAATTACTATTCCTATTAGAAAGTGTTATTATAAAAGTAATATTAAAATTATCATACATAATATAAGTACATATAATGTAAAATTCATTTGAAGAAAAAAATTTCAGTTTTATTTCACCATTTAATTTTTGATACTTATAATATGAAATGGTTTCTGTATAGTCGTGTGATGATACATTAAATTAATGGCAATCTTACAAAGATTATGAAATGAATTGAAATTAATATAATGTTTAAACTAGTATTGTCGAAATATATAACCATTAATGTTTAGCAATTAAATCAAAAAATCTTTACATCCTTAATATTGTCATTTTTATTTGACACAAAATAAGTAAATTTTTAATTTATTTTACATCCGGTATTACTTATAATATAAAGTTTAAATTTTGCGTAAACCATTTACAAAGCCAGAATTAAAAGTAATAATAATAGATATTAATTTAATATATCTATAAAGAAACAACCATATTTTATCATATAAAATAATGTTCTGTTTATAACATCATTTAATTGAAATTTTTCTAAAGATGTAAGAACACCAATTAACTTTAATGAGCAAATATCATTTTAATTAAAAATTACATTTTTAATAAGTTTGAAATAATTTATGTGCAAATTTTTAATACTGCATCATGAATTAATAGCTTAAACTTCTTTGATGTTATATGTCATAACTTAATTAACAGTTGATTTTTAAATTAAATGGTTATACTTGAAGTTAATATATGAAGTTGTATCATTTAAGAAGTAAATTTTGTTTTTTTGTTTTGAAGAAAGTGTCAATGTGACACAAATTTAAATTAGTAATTTAAAAGTAATTGAACATTGAAATCATAAATGTAATAATAATAGAGTATCATTTGATAAAGGTTGACTCTATTCAGAAAAATTGGCTATATTTGCATATTTTTTTTTATTATACAAAAAGTCAAATAATATTCATGTATTTAATTCATAAAAAAAATCTCGTTATTTATACGATATAATAATAAAGTATTTCCTAATAAAAATATAGAAAGATAACATTTATGTTTGTTTTCTCATTTTATTATATTTTCAAAATACATAAATTCAAGGTGCAAAGTACTTTTTAATATAATATATGATTATCCAGTTATGTAAAATATGTTCAATTAACATTTACGCTAAATGAGTTTGAATTGTTATCTAAAAATATGAAAAGGTAAAATTTATACTAAACTAAATTATTACGTACACTACATATGCTCATTATACATATTAATATTAAAATGTTTCATAAGTATTAAGCTTAAAATGGTTATAATTTGTCATCATTATTAAAGTATAACTAATTAAATTAATAAATTTAATCAAACATTACAAATATTATAAATATAAGTAATATTTAGAAAATATATGACCCAAAAACATAATTCTAGTTTACCAAATTTTAAATAATGGTTCAAGTTTAAAAAAATTTGGGTTGTAGCTAAATTAAATAAAGAATTTTTTTTTTTAATTTAATTCTGAGTACTTACATTTTTTTCATAGTTGAAATTGAATTACCTGAAAAACAAAAAGAAATTATTAAGAAAAATGCAATATAATTTTTTCTTTTTTATAAAATTATATATTTAGTTTTATTTAAGTGTAGTGTAACTTAATATACTTAGATTATATTAACACTAGTATTAATCAGGTTATTTTATATTAATTTGCAAAATTATTTATTATATTAAATGAAAATTGATTCGTTTCTAATAATGCCAGTTTACAGACAAATAATAACTTATAAATAGTTGCTAACAGAGAAGAACACGAGGTAGGTGAAATGAGGAGATCAGTGAAAATAAGTGAATACATGAATGATAGGAGAGGTTGATAGTTTTTTGTATTTAGAATCAGATGTGATAAAGAACGATACTATTGACGATGACGTAAGACACAGGATTAAATGCAGGTGGGTGAAATGGAGAAAACGTCTGGTGTGTTATGCGATAATAAAATTTCAATGAGGCTGAAAGGCAAGTTCTATAAGACTGTAGTGAGACCATCTATGACGTATGGTTCAGAGTATTGCATTGATAAGATAATAGAGCAAAAAATTAGTGTAGTAAAAATGAAAATACTTAGATGGATGAGTGGAGTGACTAGAGATGATAGAATAAGGAACGAACATATAAGAGAGAGTAGCGTCAATCGCAGATAAGACGATGAGAAAAAATAGACTTAGACGGTATGGTTATGTTATGAAGAGAGAGGAATCGGAAGCTGTAAGAACAGTTATAGAAATAAATTTTGAAGGAGGTAGAGGTAGAGGAAGACCAAAAAAGAGATGAAAGGATATTAATGAATGTAATATGAGGACGGCTTATATGTGACTAGATGACGTGGGAGATCGCGTCAAGTGAAAGTTTAGGGTAAGGATGGCGGACCCAAGTAGTTGGGATAAAGGGGAAGAATAAAAAGAAGATAAAAAGTTATTAACTGCTATATCCTTCTTTTAAATTACACAAGAAAAATATGTTAAAGTATATATTTCATTATTTTTTCTAAATGCAAGACAAATAATTGAACCTAAAACAGTAAAATCTCGAACTGTCGAGATTTTACTATAACTTCGTACGCCAGTCTATTTCTAAAGAAACTTCTTGTCACATTAAAAATAGTTTAAAACTCATTATACGGTCATTTATTTTCAATATGAAATTTCTTTCAAAATTTTCCTGATATACTTCATTTGTTAGCTAATTTTATTTTTTAAATAATTCAATCGTATAATTGATCACTGACTTCAATTAAAAATTTACAATGTTTTTAATTCTAATATGTAATATAAACATATTGAGGAACAAATTTGTGATAAAAGTGTTTAGCTGTTTTTGAAGAATATATCACTTTTATAATATTTTCTGGTCTCTTTAATAGCCATCGAAAATCGAATTCTTAATAAAATTAATTTGTTATTTTCTAACTACAAATTGTTGTTTATTTTTAAAATTAACTAATGATTTATTTTACTATTATACATTAACATTTTGTCATTGTGTTTCACAGTAAGTTGTTTTAATTTTGGTTAAACTATATTTTCTATAATTAATTTAAATAATGTTGACAAAAGCTATTAAAAATTATTTTATCATTTTTGTTTTATTAACATAGTACTACTATACGTTATTCATTATCACATTATGTTTGTTGCAGTTTTGTCACGTTACACGATACGCATATTAGTTTTCAAGCTGCCGACACTCATTTGTTTGTGTTGGAGTAATGATAGAAGGCTATCAGAAGCTGTCAAATTTTTAAGAAATTACTTGAATTGTTGTAACCTATGCGTAAATTTTTATGTTAGTGTATTTTATTTTTTTTAATGAAAGCATTTTGTAGTTTATTAGCTTTCTATCCTTAAAGTTTATATAAGTTCATAATACATATTGAATAAGATTTCACTTATAAAATTAAAATGAATATCAACTAAATAAAACAACAAGTTACGAATTAAAGATAAAGCTTAAACTATAATTATTTTTAGATATTTTTCATAGTTACTTTTTGATGTAAATTATATGTATTTAATTGTTTTAATTAATTAAAGTAACCGCCCACTGGCTGTAAATCAGTTTACCACTCTTGAATATTAACTTATGTAAATTATCCAACAGAGCAAAAGTTGGAAGTATGGTTAAAACACTAAACATTTAAATTGATTTGAAATATTTGTTTTATAATTTTTGATCAAATCCGATATTTAAAATCTAAATAATTTTGTTTAAAGCAACTCATTTTAACTCCTATTTTCCTCGCAATGAAAATTTTTATTTTATTATAATACGAACTCAAGTTAAGAAAAAGTACCTTTTTAATCATTAAACTTACTTCATTACTATTTTTATTGAAAAAGCATAAGCAAAAAAATACGTTGGAATTTTTTTTTTGGATTTATGGTTATTTCGAAAATAATTTAATAAAATAACTTATATATTCGTTGGTTTTGATGTAAAAATGTTTTAAATTATTTACACAAGATAATTTTTTTTTTATTTTCATCGTTAACTATAGAATTATAGTTTGTGTTTGTATAATTTTATTTATTATTTTTAATTTCGATGCGTAGCTGAAAAGGTATTGGTTTTATTCTGCTACGTTTCTTTTTTGTATCACTATAGACAGCTACTTTACTTTTACTGGACCAATTTTGCTCAATGATATGACAAGCGTATCTAGTTGAAACTATTGTCAGCATAATTTTGAAAAATTCCCCTGAAAGCCCCTAATAAAGGGAATCTCCTAAAAAAATACAGTTATTATAAAACAGTCAATTTTGATATTTATAGTTTTCATTTTATATTAAAAATATATTTTTGAAAATTGGAAGGATTATTATGAAATTTTTATTGGTATACTTTTAACATTTTCCTAAAAGGTGACATATTTTTTTTTTTTTTGAAAATTCAATCATTAATCAAGGTAATGTGGGCGCTTAAAAATGTTATCATGATTTATTGCTTTTAATTGTATAATAATGTTCCAAAAATATCTGACATTATTAACCCTAAATCAAATCAAAGATAATAGAATATTCTCTAAGATAAAAAATATGAATTATCCGAAATCTCGATTTTTAAGAGTTACTGGCATTAAAGCTAGATAGCATATGATTTTCTTTTAAAATTGTCAATTTTGTAGTTTTTTGCATTGTAACCGAATACTTGCTTAATTTAAAAATATTTCAAATCAAAGCTAATTTATTGTAATATACAGAGTGTTCAGTAAGTAAAGAAACGGGTTTCTATTGTTCTCATTATTTGTAACAATTTACCTGTTTCCTTACTTACTGAACACTTTGTATATGAGTAATTTGTCTCTTAAGTCAACAAGTCATGAAATTTTAGGTAAATATGAAAACAGTTTTATTTTTTGTTTTTTTGCTACACATAATACTTATTGAAGCGTTTTGCGACAATTATTTTACTTATTGTCATATATCAATCAATACTAAAATTAAAAAATGCTTCGAATTTAATGCACTGGATTTTAACTACACTTGACTTTTTTTATTATTATTCTTGGTATTGATTTTATTTTATTTTTGTGATGCCTATTGTTTCTCAATAAAAATCTTAAATTAAATAAGACAAATATAAATTAATAGAGATACATATTTTCTAAATATATATTCTTAAACATATACATAAAATCGTAAAGTAAATTTTAGTTATCTAAGTAGAACAAAATGATTTACGATTATAAGTTATACGCCATCTTTCATAATTTCTATACAATAACAAAGATAACTAATTTGTTAATTATTATTTATTCTTAAAATATTAAAATAATAGATAACTTAATTTTAAGATTTTAAAATGGTTTTATACGTAATAAAAGTTGGTACAGACATCTCATAAGAGTTATACTAGTAACTTGATATTAAATATAAAGTAATAAGATAAAATGTTTTTATAATATACATAAACATTAAAGAAAGTTTTTTAAGAATACGTTTAACATGCTTCAAGATTACTTTAAAATGTGCTACTAAGTTTTCCAAAGAGAAAATACTGTGAAAAACTTGGATAAATTCCAGACCTTACTGAGTTTACACAGGTTTGTTCTATTGTTACACGTGTAAAGGTTTTCTGTGAGGTATTAAACCATTTTATAATATCCTGTTAATCAATATAAAGTCTATTTTAAGAACAATTATATAGGTTTTTAATATTAATATGAATATATTTTTGATCATATTTATAGTATTGTTGAAACAAACAAACTGCAGTGAGACAAAACGTTTGTATCGTAACAATAAAATAGAAACTAATATTAATCAAAATTCAATAATTTAGAAATTTCTTAGTTATAATTAATACACCATGGGCTCGGTTTTATTCGATAATTTCAAGATCTTTTGATCTAGTTAATATTTTTTTAATAGTTACACACTCATGCACTCTAATAATAATAAATAAATATTAATTAATTTCCTTTAAAAAAAAAAAAATTGTGTAAATAGCTATTTTTTAGAATACGTTTTAAGAAATAATTCGATAAAAAAATTCTCATTAGTGATTAATCGAATCATTTATAGAAAATTTTAAAGTTTATGAAAATTTGAATTTTTTGATATATATTTTATTATATTAAACACTGACTATGTTATTAAGGAAAAAACAGTAGTAAATATAATTTTACATACATAATATTGCTGGCAGTTATTTATTTATTTAATAATAATTAATAAAAATTTCCGTTTTTCTTAAACAGCATAGTTCCAAATAACTAATTTTGCAGTTTTGAAAAGTGTGTGAACATCAAGTAATAACTTAAATATATACATATATATATATATATATATTCCTCTTCTATGGTCCATTGAAAGCCATTGGGACCTCTCCTAAGAAAAAGTTTCTTAACGTGATCGAGTCTCGAACCCAAGACAGTGCACACCAGATACTGCTATTTTACTGATTCAGTCATACCGTCTTTCAATAACTTATATGGACTGTAGAATAACTTATTTTATACAGTAAATACAAAAAAAAAGATATCTGCACGTGTTCTTGGGT